TTCGTGGGCTATTGTTGAATCCTAAAATGGGCTTGAAATTTAAGTTGGGCTGAAATATTTTGGCCGGTTCAATTTTATCTTGGGCCGAGCTAAAATTAACGAGTCTCACCAAAATTCGGTGACATAGGGACTATATTTGTTTCAGCTCTTTTGGACCTCAACGTACACAATCCTGCCTTCACCAATCTATGGTCAATATAAGCTTCTTTTCATAATTTCTAGCTAAAACAAATAAGCAGGATCTAAACTTTGTGGTACTCAGCCCAAATAAGTAGTCTTCTAGTGAAAACCTAATTAATCCGTGAAATGAGCATAGCTCAGTTGGTTGGATTCAGCCTTTCAGAGATGCTCATTGGGTTAAAGTGAGTATGTGTACATACTTATGTCTGAATCTGTACTGTGACCATTCGCAAAAAAAGACCTAATTAACCCATGTAAAAGCATAAGCACTCCTATACGCTAGCTGATGTATAGTTATCTAGTGTTGATGTTGAAGATGACCTCAAGCCAACACATCAGCAAGGGCATTGGACGCCCAAATAGGTTGCACATAACCTGCAATGCAGCAAGAACGCAGCGTAATCGACCAAACCGATCTAGAGACCGATAAGGACGATGTAGAGCCCGTTCTTAGCTGGAAAAGCTCTCGAACTTCTCCCGGGAAGACCCGTCAGGGAGGAGCACATGGAGGATCTATTAGGACTAGCAAGGCCGCCTAAGATGCCGACAAATCTCATCGGGAGACATGCCGAACAGCAGAAGGGGTTGAGAGAGGGGTAAAGGGTTGATAGGAGTTGATAGATTGATTTTTTGACGATTGGATAGATGGGAACTCAATCGGCCATGACCCTCTCGTATTTATAGAGGGGGTGGTCTTATCCTAGTAGGAAATAAATCCAAATCATAATCTCCAAGTTTCCCACATCAAAAATTACCTAAAACCGACTTTTAGTCTTAACCTAGTCGGTTTTCAGACACGAGTCGGCTTAGCCAACTTAAGAGTCGGCTAAGCCAACTTCCACGGGCCCGAGCGGGCCCTAGGCTGGCTAAAAAGGGGGGAGTAGGCTTAGCTGACTCATGCAGTCGGCTAAGCCGACTGGCTGCAGCTCGCCCTATTCTCCTCGTGATTCGTTGGTCTTTTTTATTGAGCTGTTTGACCTCAAATATGTCCAAGATGCTTATAACTTATTCATGGTGCCCGAAACCACCTTGGGACATTTTTTAGTATCAACATATGCCCCCCTATTTTCAGATGAATGATGCATGAACCTGAAAACACTTAATCAAGCAAAATAAACCAAACAGCAACGATACTCATCTTATCGGCTGCTCAACGACTAAGGGCGATGTATACATTGGCCAGTAAGGGCGATACATGTATTGGCCATTGCCTAGAAAGCACTTTGGCTTCTTACCAAACACTTGGAAAGTATTTTTTTCAAATATCTCCCGTTGATTGCTCTTGTGAGACGTTCACCTTGCAATGTCTCTAGCAAATAGGAATTTCCAAATATGACATTGATCACTTTGTAAGGACCTTCTCAATTTGGTGACCACTTGCCAAACTGATTGCCCTTCAATACAATTGGTAGTATGGCTTTCCACACTAATTCTCCTACTTGGAAGGATTTGCTCTTGACTTTCTTGTTGTATGCCTTGGCAACTCGAGCCTTGTCTTTCTCTATTTTCTTGAGAGCCTTCTTACATCAGTCATCTCATCGATATTATCCATCATCAAATCATGATACATAAAAGCTAATAGATCATTTTGTTTACCAAGTCTATATGCATTCAAATTCACCTCGACAGGTAACATGATCTCTAGACCATATACTAACTCAAAAGGAGTAACCTTTGTGGCACCATGCCTTGAAATGCGATATGCCCACAGAGCTTCAGACAAAACTTCATGCCACCTCCTTAGATTCTCCTTAATCTTCTTCTTGATAAGCTTGATCAAAGTCTTATTACTAGACTTAGCCTAGCCATTGGCTTGAGCATAGTATGGAGATGAATTGAGCAACTTAATCTTATATAATTCGGCAAATTCCCTAACCTACTTAGATACAAATGATTTCCTTTGATCTATAGTTAATGTCTGAGGGATGCTAAATCTATGGATAATATGTTCAGTGATGAACTTAATTACCTCCTTATGTGTCATATTCTTCAGAGGAACTGCCTCGGTCCACTTTGTAAAGTAATCCATAGCAACCAACACAAATCGGTGTCCCTTTGTGGATAGGGGATGTATTTGGCCAATGAAATCTAGCCCCCAACCATGAAAATGCCATGGTTTGATAATAGGATGAAGTAAAGCAGCAGTCACAAGCTAAATATTCTCAAGCTTCTGGCACTCTTCGCAACCTTTGTAGTAACAAAAGCAATCGGCCATCATGGTAGGCCAATAGAAACCGGCTCTAAGCAATAACCACTTCATCTTTGGGGCCGATTGATGCGTACCACAAATGCCTTCATGAACTTCTCCCATAGTCACTCTTGCTTGATCAGATCCCAAGCACTTAAGCAGCAAGTCTTCGGCAGTTCTCCGATAGAGCTCATCATTATGCAACACATATTTGAAAGCACTCCGCCGAACACCTTTATCAATTTTAGCACTTGGATCACGTAAATATCTCAACAAGGGAGTCCTCCAATCCTCTAAATTGGCCCCAACATCACTAGAAGTCACATCATGCCGATTTGGGAGCTTCTCGGGCGAATTGACCAAGCTGGTCACAGGGGAGTCGGTTGAGCCGACTGGTTTAGTCGGCTTAGCCGACTTGGAGTCGGCCTGAGCCAACTAGGGCAATTAGCCTAGCCGACTTGGCCATAGCAGAGAGGGAGTCGACTGAGCTAACTTGGTCAGTCGACTTAGCCGACTGGTCTATACCTGCACAGGAAAAATTCAAATTTTCATGCATCAGCTGTTCTTGAATATGAAAATTATGCCCACCAATGTCACAGCCAAATGTTTGTTGAGCTAACATATCGGCCTTTTGATTTTCATGCCTCGGAATATGCCGAATTCGGAATTCGGCAAAAATAATCAATAATTTCAAGGCAAGCATCAAGACAAGTTCTTAGTGATTCTTCTAAACATTGAAATTCACCAACAACTTGATGTACCACCAGCAAGGAATCACCGTAAGCTTCAACATGTTTTACCTCCATGGAACGCAACATGATCAACTTGAGTAAGAGAGCTTCATATTCGGTTTGATTGTTGGTACAATAGAAATCTAATCGGCTTGACATCCCAATTTTAGCACCATTGGGAGAAACAAGAATAATACCAACACCTTGGGCATCTTTACAAACCGATCCATCAAAGTATAATTTCCATGGAGTAAAATTAAGGTAATTGACTTCATCATCTAAATCAATACCATGCTCAACAATTAAATTAGCAAGAACTTGACCTTTCAATGTTTTCAGTGGATCAAAAGTCAAGTCATATTCAATTAGTGCGTATGCCCATTTGCCTATCCTTCCAAGAAGAATTGGCCACTATAACATGTGCTTTATCACATCGGCCTGGTAAGCAACAACACATGTATTTGACAAAAGATAATGTCTCATCTTAGCACAAGCATAGTACAGTGATAAACAATTTTTTTCTATATGGGCATACCTTGTCTCGGGATCAAGAAGACGGTGACCAAGATAAGCAATCATATATTCTTTACCTTGGTCTTCTTGAGTCAAAATAGCCCCAATTATCTTATCTTTGGCAGCGATACATAATTTGAAAGGAACTCCCCTTCTAGGTGCATGAAGAACCGGTGGTATTGACAAATATTCCTTTATCTTTTCAAATGCTTCTTGTTGCTTTGCCCCCCAAGTGAATTCAGATTCATCCTTCAGCTTCAATATGGGGGTGAAAGGAATAATTTTTCCAGACAAGTTAGCAATAAATCTTCTCAAGTAGTTCATCTTCCCTAGGAACTTTTGCAAGTCTTTCTTGCATGTTGGCGCCTGAACTCCCTTGATCTTCTCTATCCTCTTGGGATCAACCTCTATGCCTTTATCATGAATAATGAAGCCTAAGAACTTCCCAGTAGATACTCCGAAAGCACATTTGAGTGGGTTCATCTTCAATCCATAGCGACGCATCCTCTCAAAAGCAAGACGTAAATTGGCCAATGAGATTTATGGGCAGCCGATTTAATCACAATATCATTAATATATACCACTATAATCACCCCAATTAGATCATGGAAAAGCAAATTCATAGCTCTTTGATAAGTAGCACCTGCATTCTTCAGCCCAAATGTCATGACAACCCACTCAAAGAGACCAACAAACCCAAGACATATGAAAGCCATCTTAGACATATCTTCTTCGGCCATGAAAATCTAATTATAACCGGTATTACCATGAACAAAACTAATAACCTGGTGTCCTAAAGCATCATTGATTAGCATATCGGCTATAGGCATAGGATATTCATCTTTTGGAGTGGCTCTATTCAAATCTCTAAAATCAATGCAGACTTTGATCTTCCCAGAATCTTTCTTTTCAACAGGCACAATATTAAAGACCCACTTAGCATACCTGCATGGCTGAATAAACCCCGCTTGCAACAACCGATTAATTTCTTTTTTAATCCGGTTGTAGATTGTACAATTGAAGCGACAGGGGTGTTGCTTGAAAGGCCTGAATCCTTTCTTAATGGGGAGCCGGTGTTCAACAAGCTCTCGGCTCAATCTAGGCATCTCTGTATAATTCCATGCAAAACAATCAACATATTCCTTGAGAAGCGCGATTAACTCAGCTTTGTAATCGGCATCCAAGTTTTGATTTATAAATGTCGGCCGAGGCACTGAGCCATCCCCAATATCAACCTGTTCTAAAGGGTCAGCCGACATAAATCCTTGGCCCAACTTATTGAGGTCATCAAAATCATCAATAGCCTCACAGGCATCGGTCTTATTAGCCTGATACTGTTCAACACAATGTTTTAACCGTTCAACATTGGCATCCATTACAATAAATGATTACATGATGATATTGAGCCAATTATCAATCAGCTTCAGAGATACAGGAACAAAGCCGAACATGGTAACACTAATAAATTCAAAGCTAGAAAGATCTCTACCAGACAAGCAGGCAATAGCATCGTGCCCCCCGAGTGTAGGAGCATTGGCTGTAGCAACGTCAGCCGATGAATCTGAATGCACAACCTCAATAGCATCTCCCACCCATTGGATGAGAAATTGTTGCAAGCTAGATGGTACACAGTGATTAGAATGGATCCAATCATGCCCAAGTATCAAGTTATAGCTACCTTGCACATTAGCGATGAAGAACACCATGGCCAAAGTCTTGCTTCCAATGGTGAGCTCCATATTAGCAACTCCTCTGGTCGGGATGGGAGCACCTCCTCCAACACCATTGATCGTCATGTTGGACCTTCACATGCGGAGGCTTGAGATGGTTGACGAAGTCATCTGGTTTCTGAAATATAGCACTCTCCGTCATGAAGTTAAATTCTGCTGTCGCCGAATCATCTCCAAGAATGTAGTAATTGACGGACATATAGACCACATTGACGTCTACCCTTTCTAGAATGGCTTCATAATCAACCATCTCCTCATCGGGAACCTCAGGGACCTCCATGCCAACTAGGGCAGCAATGGTGCAAGCAAAATCATCAGAGGACACCTCAGAGGCACCTAGGACTGCGGGAGTGGCTCAACCGACTCTAAAGTCGGCTTGGCCAACTCTAGGACTTCTAGAGCAATAGGGGCAGCCAAAGTTGGCTTAGCCGACTCTACAGTTGGCTTAGCCGACTCTAAGCCCCCAAGAGTGGCAGTAGGGGTGGCAGTCGGCTTAGCCGACTCTGGACTCCGCTTAGCCAACTGGCCAGCAGTAAGAGTCGGATTAGGCAACTCTGGAGTCGGCTGAGCTAACTAGCCAGCAGCAGCAGCATTTTGCCTTTCTAGAAGGATTTCGACATGTACAACGTTGAAGATTTCACCCTCCCTCTTGACAAGCTTCTCCCTCTTCTGTTGCTTATGCCGGGCACACTGTAATTTACGTCGTTGAGTTTTATTCAAACCACGAGGATAACATATGGGTTGACGGTACTTGGAATCTCCTTCAATGCGCTTCTTTTCTTTAACTCCAGCAACTTCTTTAGGAGCTTCATCTTGTTTAAATCCTAGAATTTCTTCAATTACAATCGGCCCATCATGATTAGTGATAGGAACTTCCATGAAGCCGACTGTAATTACCGATTGTGGCCTAGTTCTCGGCAGGGACACAACGGGAACCTCAACCTTCTTAGGCACATAAACTTGTTGCATTGGTGCCTTTCTCGATTCTTATGGAGTCAACGTCCTAGAGGTACTCTCATGATCTTGATTTGCACCGCCAGAGCTTGATTGACCATTGTTCAATTGGCTAAACACAAAGGTTCTTGGGACTTGACTAACAGGCTCTCCCCATCTTTGTTGACTATGCATAGGCGCCGCCAGAGGATACAGCGCCCAAACTCTATAAGGACCCTATTGTGGCATAACAGGAGCTAGAATCGGGGGATCCTAATGGGATACACGGGAGCAACTCTCTGAGGTGGAGCTGCTAGTTGAACCACCGTCAATTGCTTAGATTTGTCATCTTCTCACTTAGGTGGAGTAGACTCTCTTTTTTAACGGTCGATTCTGGGAATCAGCCTTTTGTTGCTTGTACTTGGTCATGAGCCTATCAAAAGTGCATTGCTTCTTCATGAGTTTTCCCTAGTTCTTCTCATTGGTCTTCCAGGTGCCAATCTCCGACCGCTGTGGAACAAACGTGCGCCAAACACGAACACTGGAAGCACTAGGGCTACTGGAACCAGGGGAGTCGGCTAAGCCAATTGGGGCAGTTGGCTTAGCCGACTTGGCTAGCTCTGTGCTGGAGTCGGCTAAGCCGACCCCTTGAGTTGGCTGAGTGGACTGGCTCTGGTTGCTGGTGTCGGCTTGGTTGACTGGAGGAGTCGGCCTGGCCAGACTCTATTGCACCGCTGTTGTTTCGTACCACCGCTACCTTCTCAAATATGGTGTCAATCTAGTAGTGATCTTCAACTTGTTCTTGCCTTCATGATCTTTCTCAAGCACCACCTTGCGCCCCAAATTCTTTTCGACATTCGGTGCAACATGTGGTTCACCGATAATCACATTCTTACCATGAGGTTTATCAGCTTGCTCTAGACGAATCAAAATAGCGAGAGCCCCTGCTTCAGCCATATGCATTGGAAATGGGGACTTATCAACTTGCATCTTAGTAACACTCAATCATCCCTCATTAAGGGCTGATTGGACCTACCGATGAAAAACATCGCAATCATTAGTGGCATGAGAAAAAGAGTTATGATATTTGCAATAAGCCCATCTCTTTAACTCATCCACTGAAGGCATTGTATAATTAATTCTAATATAACCGAATTTCAAAATTTCATCAAAGATTTCGTCACATTTAGAGAAATCAAAAGTAAATTTAACTTTCTCATTCCGATTCTTATGAATCGGCTTGAGAGAAGGGCAAGTAACCAATTTATTCTCTGCTGGCCATTTGATTTTAGCAGCTAAAAATTTTTTATTATCATCATCAGAATCATCAGAATAATCAATAACAAAATGCACATTCCGACAATGAGATTTATAAGCATCACGAGACTCTTTAAGGCACGATTCAATTGAAACGGCCTTTTGCATAAGTCGGTTAACATTGTGAAACTCATAATGCTCAAGCTTTTCTTTAATGCTAGAACGTAAACCAGCAAAGCATAAATCGGTTAAGTCTCTTTCAGTAATCATTAAATGAAAATATCGGTTCTTGATTTCTCTAAACCGTTTGAAAAAATCATGGATAGATTCATCATGTCCTTGATGAACCAATGCAAGGTGAGACAATCTAGTTTCATGACCACCACTATAAAGTGATAATGAAATTTTTCTTCTAATTCAGCCCATGAACCAATAGAACAAGATGGTAATGAAGTAAACCATGAAAAAGTTGTGCCAGTAAGAGATAATGGAAAATTATGAACTTTCATGAAATCATAAGCACTAGCTCCACCCAATTGTGCAAGAAACATGCTAATATGCTCCATAGTTGATTTACTATCATCACCACTAACTTTTTGAAAATTCGGTAGCCTCCATCCATCAGGTGCTTTAATGAAATCAAAAGTAGAAGGGTATGGCTTATGATATGCATTCTTACTAGGTTTAATTTGCACACCTAAACTACTCTCAATAGATTTAGTCAAATCTTCCTTAAGCCGATTCAAAGCTTCATTAAAATCGGCTGTCGTAGCATTAGGGGCAACATTAAACGTAGGAATTTGGCTAAGTGGCTTCGGTGGGTTCGGTAAAACCGTGTTGTGCCACGCTGAAGTTCTATTTGCTGATGCTCCATAATCAGTTCGAAGAGCTCGAGCCAAACTTTGTGCACCAGCACCTATACGTGTAGATGTGCTAGCACCAGGTGGACCGGCCTTATCGGTTTTAGACGCCGAAGGGGCCGATTGAAACTGGCTAGCATATGCATGAGAAGTTTGATTTTCATAAAAAATTAAAGGCATACCAAATTGAGGTTGTTGCATGGCACCCGATTGATCATAATCGGTTGTCTTGCCGTCGAGCTTATCCATACGACTACTAAGTAAACTAAATGAATGTTGAATAGTATTTATAAGTGTATTCTTTGTATCAACTAGCATCTTAGCATAATTTGCATGAGTTGGATAAGCATCAGTATATACCTTGTCATGATATTTAGCTTTTTTGCTTCCCTTCTCCTCCGCGTCTAAAGATGCAGAGGCTATAGCGTTGTCGTAGGCGGGTTCATGGAATTGAGTAACTCTATCATGCCGATTCTTGGTACAGCTCTCCATGAAAGCCTTAGTATTAGCATCGAGTTTGGCTTATAGTTTCTGGCGTAACTCATCTGGGAGCTCATCCATGGACGTAGGAAACAGCATATTAGCCTCATTGAAGGGGCTGGTCTTGTCACCCATGTCAATGGCAGCACCATCGTTGCCTCCCATGTTGCTAGTAGATTGGTTCTTGATTGGCTTCGCTTTCCCCAGCGGAGTCATCAAAAGGTATGTTGACATTGAAGATGACCTCAAGCCAACACACCAGTGAGGGCCTTGGATGCCCAAAAAGGTTGCACACAACCTGCAATGCAGTAAGAATGCAACGTAATTGACCAAACCGGTCAAGAGACCGATAAGGCCGATGTAGAGCCCGTTCTTGGCTGGAAAAGCTCTTGAACTTCTCCTGGTGTCGGTGTTTGATGACCGGCAACCTATCATGGGTGTACCCGGGACGGTGTTCAAAGGGCTTCGACGTACGCAGAACTCGATAGTAAACACAAAGAGACGCACGATTTATACTAGTTTGGGCCCTCTTGTTGAGTAATCGCCTTTACGTCCAGTCGATGTGTAGCCTTTTGTGTTCGATTGATTGTATGATTGTTAGGGTTACAAGGTGGTGTACCATACCTCTCTTTATATAGGGGAGAGGGTAAGGGCATGTATCTAGTCCTAGTTGGTTACAAGAGAAGAGTCATAGTCCCATTATAGAATCTAGCTTTCATAGTAAGCCGACTAAGTCGATTTGGAATAGCTTGAAGTCCATGCCACCTTGTCTCACGTCCTTCAACAGATCGTGGGCGATCCCAGGGCCCATCCAAGAAGTACCCTCATGGGGAACCCCTAGGACCCTGGCCCGTGAAGCCCCCAAGCGTGTCATGGTTGAACTCGGAAGCCTTCTTGTTCCTCCTGATCTTGCCGAGTAGAAACAAGCGTAGTCCGAGTGCTTTCATGAGTGAAGCCATGAGGTGCTCTGTAAGCCTCCGGGTGATGTGCACCTTTCAAAAAAGTGCACTCACTGAGTGTAGCCCCCGAGTCTCTTGCTGTTTGCAAAACAAAGAGTTAGAGGGTCTAAAGAAAAAAACCGCAGAGGATCTGTACTCTGCAGCCCCTGAGCCTGTGTCCGAGTACTTGTACTCGAGATAAGGATCCAAAAAGAATGTACTCGAGGATGAGAGTGTCAGCAAAAATTTTTGTCCTATCTACTTGTACAGAAGCAGGTAAGACGTGTCAAAGTCACATGTAAAGCTTTAGTACAGTTGGTTCAAAAATGCTCAGGATATTTGTGGGAATATGCCATCAAAGGTGCTACCGGGTGTACTATGACTTCACATGTGCTGGGAAAAGGCTGTCTGTACACTAAAAAGGTGTAGTGGGACACACTGTACCCTTGTAGTGTAGCACATGAACCTATGTAGGAGTCAGTAGCTTGTCCGTGTATTCCATGCGAACCTGGTCCATAGACAACACTGATACGCCTATAAAAACCCTCATGGTGAGCACTTGAACCTCAGTTGTAGAAGAAACAAAGTGGCTTAGAGTTTGAAGCTTGCAAATATGGTGATGAGTGAAGCAGGACAGCCTCCGGGAGTACTCAGTTGGTATAACCAAGAGCTGTAGTGACTAGAAGAATTCTTGTGAGAGGGTTTAGAGGTAGGCTAAACCCGCAGTTGTGCATAGTAGAGTAGCCTAGAGCTGCAACTAGAAAAAGTCTTGTGACGGCTGGTAGGGTGGCACATCCAGCAGTCCCATGTTAGTTCTTCTAGGGTGCCTATCGATGTCTGTCCATGAAGGGTCATAACCGGACCCGAATGTGTACAGATGGCGTCGGCTGGGTGGCAAGATGTGCGAGTAGCTCATCCTTTATACCAGCCAGCAGGCTTCCTCTTGCAGTAGCTATGCTCCCAAGGGTAGTCAGCCAACAAATGTTCGTAGTCGAATAGCCTACCCAAGCTTCTAGGCTAGGACACACTACACTTCTGTTATCTACCCAGATGCATTACTCTTCTCTTGGATCTAGGTGCATCGGGTACAAAAGTACCTACTAAGAAGCACTTAGAGTATGAGAACTCTGTTATATCCGAGTAGGTGTTGTCTTTGTTATTGACTGAAAAAATCTTGTATCCAATACTTGTAACTCTCTAAATAAATAGTCACTCATTATTCTGAGTGGTCTTGAATCTTGTAAAGTGTGCAACTATGTATCCATTGAACTATTGCTAAATAAAAAATCTTCATCCGAGTACTGCACTGTTTAGTGCATATGGTCAAGCAATTGTTCGAGTACTACATCAATCATCCGGGTACTTCACGATGTGGCCACGTAGATAATGGTCGTAGTGTGGCCGGTACCTGGAAAGAAGAAATCCAAAGGATAAGTCTGAACACACTGTGATGCGTTAGAAATCCTAAAAAGACGTGCAGCCATCATATCAATCCGCGTGG